CCCCAAAACCCCAAAACCCCAAAACCCCAAAACCCCTATAAGAAAACTTCCTGTTGTTATTTTTTAATAATTTATAAAATCTTAAGATGGAGGAAAAAGAAAACACTGCTGGAGATCTAAAGTAACAAAATTATTAATTCCATAGAGAGTTAAAAAGGCATTTAATACAAGAAGAACAACTATCAAGCATGAGTATTGAAGAGAAAGAGGAAGAACTTTTGGATGCTGACGTTGATAATTCAATGTATGCCAGTCCTTGGCAGGTAATCTTTAATTTTCTTACCCAGAATTAGACGATCAAATTTAACTTAATAATTTAGTGGATCCCTCTCTCGATTCTGACAGCAATAATCATTGCAACAGCAAATGTAATTGTGACCTCAATAGCAAAGTTCACATACAAGATCAGAGTAATCCAAGCTCCTGGAAGTGTTTTATCATGCAGTATTCTTCTCACAATTGTTTCGATATATGATTACATTAGTGGAAGGCCCAACTGGTTTAAAAGACTATATTACGAGCATCCTCATCATAGTTTAAAGAATCAAAGCATTAGATATCCAAGAGTCGCTCTTACAATTGGTTGTGTGTTTGTTTTCCCTATTCAGTTCTACACATTTACAATGAGTTATTTCTATGCAAACAAGGCTGGAATAAACAATGGGGTTATCATGGTAATCGTCACCCTAAAGCCGATAATCAATGCTATTGCCTTCAGGTTCTTATTTTATCAAAAGCTCGGATCTTTTGAAGTCATCGGGATTTTATTCTCTACAATTTCTATCATTATTATTGGCTTTTCAGAAAACTCAGAAAGTGAAGAGCACAAAGGATTCTATTTGTTAATCTCTATGGTGCTTTTGTTCATAGCTGTGTTCTTAGAAGCTTTAATTGGTATTGTTGCAAAGTATTTCCTTGCTTTTAAAGACAACAAAACAAACGTGTCCTCTTTTTACTCTTTATTTATTGGAATAATTGACTCCATCTGTGTTGTCATCTTTATTGTCCTTTTGAATACAGGATTGGATATTACTTGGAAAGAGTTCTTCCTTGCTCAATTATTGAGCATCCTGTATGCAATTGCTCAATTCACAATGGCCTTTTCCATCCTAAAAGGCAAAGGTGGAACAGCAAGTGCTCTGATAGAAACTATAGGGGTGTACCAAACAATTATTGAAGCTGTAGTTTACTCGAGGTTCCCAAATGCATGGCAAATTATTGGAATGGTGATAGCATTTTCAGGATCTATTTTAGTAATTCTAGGGTATCACTTCTCAAGAAAGTAATTGAGGGATAAAAATTCGATTTGCTATTTTCAATATCTAACATTAAATAAGGGGTTTTGGGGTTTTGGGGTTTTGGGGTTTTGGGG